TCTCTAGTTAAGATTTACAGCTTTAGAAACCCAGTACTAACTCCTCAAGAGAACAATGAGGCAATCTCTAGTTAAGATTTACAGCTTTAGAAACCAAATGGAAGGCCATCATGAGTCAGAGCTGACTCAATGGCAGTGAGTTTTGTGTATTTTAAGAGCGAGAACAGGCTCTCCGCTCCTTATATTCCAGATTGTCCTCTCTTCTTGTGCAGCCTCAGCCGCATCCCTGACACACGATGGTGAAGGTTGGAGTAAACGGATTTGGCTTCATTGGGTACCTGGTCACCAGGGCTGCTTTTGACTCTGGCAAAGTGGATGTTGTCGCCATCATTGATCCCATCACTGACCTCAACTACATGCTTTATATGTTCCAGTATGATTCCACCCATGGCAAGTTCAATGGTATTGTCAAGGCTGAGGATAGGAAGCTGGTCATCAAGGGGAAAGCCATCACTCTCTTCCAGGAGCAAGATCCCGCCAACATCGAGGGGGGCGATGCTGGTGCTACGTATGCTGTGGAGTCCACTGGTGTCTTCACAACCTTGGAGGATGGTGCCAAATGGGTAATCATCTCTGTTCCTCCAACTGATGTCCCCATGTTTGTGATGGATGTGAACCAAGAAAAGTATTTCAACTCTCTCAAGATTGTCATCAATGCCTCCTGCACCACCAACTGCTTGGCTCCCCTGGCCAAGGTCATCCATGACAAAGTTGCCATTGTAGAGGGACTCATGACCACAGTCCCTGCCATCACTGCCATCCAGAAGACTGTGGGTGGCCCCTCTGGAAAGCTGTAGCGTGTTGGCCGTAGAGCTGCCCAGAACATCATCCCTGCATCTACTGGTGCTGCCAAGGACATGGGCGAGGTCATCCATTAAATGAATGAGAAACTTACTGGCATGGCTTTCTGTGTCCCCACCCCCAATGTGTCAGTTGTGGACCTGACCTGCCGTCTGGAGAAAACTGCCAAATATGATGACATCAAGAAAGTAGTAAAGCAGGCATCAGAAGGGCCCCTCAAGGGCTTCCTGGGATACACTGAAGACCAGGTTGTCTCCTGTGACTTTCATAGTGACACCCACTTTTCCACCCTTGATGCTGAGGTTGGCATTGCCCTGAAGGACCACTTCGTCAAACTCATTGCCTGGTATGACAATGAATTTGGCTACACCAACCAGGTTTTCGACCTGATAATTCACATGGCCTCCAAAGAAAAAGAGTCCCTGGACCCCCAGCCCCAACAATAGCACTAGAAGAGAGAGAGGGGGACCCTCAGATGCTGGGGAGTCCTTGCCCCAACTCGATCCTCCCACACACTGAGAATCTAACATCCTTGACACAGTTTCCATCCAATCCCCCTGAAAAAGGTGGGGGGGGCGGGGCTTTGGAGAGCCCATCTTGTCATGTACCATCAATAAAATACACTGTACCGAGCCACCACACACACACACACACACACACACACACACACAAAAGAGCGAGAACAGAGCTTCTTAATGTTCATCCTTGAACATCACTGTAGTATTTATACCAATTCTAGCACAAAGATTCAGCTCAAAGAGAACCATGAGGCTTTGGTTTCACCAGGACTGATTTCATTAGTGACTACCGGTCAGTGCTAGTTAACTCAGTGTCCAAAGGTGGGAATGGATGTTAAGCCATAGTCCATAGGGTGTTATGCTGCTAATCCAAAGTTGACACCTCCTTGAAGTTCAAACCTACCTGTATCTCTATGAGAGAAAGATCAGGAATCTCCTGCACTATTGACAGCCTCCAAGCCCCCCTCTGGGGACTCAGCTATTAGTCAGCTCTGACTCAATGGCAGTGAGTAAGCCTTATTATGTGAACTTTAAACAATGAAAAATAAGTGGCAGGAAGGAGTGGTCTTCCTTCTCTCACACCTCATTGTGTCATTCCAGATCCAAAAATTCCTTATGTGCTTTCCTGAAACATCCCCTGTGACTGAGTAAACCTTTTGTTTCCTTGTGAATTTGTGACCAGACTGATGATTCACAAACCTGTATTGTTTCCTTTCTTTCCCTATTTTTCTCCACCTTTTTTTCCCCTGAGTCTTGTTGCCCTGGCAATGCAGCAATCACCACCACTACTCTTTAAAAAGAATAATAATATTAAGCCTTATTTTATAAAGTATACTACTGATTCTATTTCCTAGCAAATCTGGGCTAAAAAAATTGGTTATAGGAAAGGCCTAAAACCCTCATAATGACATTTCAGACTTCTATTTCTCACTGGTCTAAAGGCAATGGAAAAGCATGTAATTATAATGAGAATTCCTGGCATCTACCTGATACCATATTTACCACAGCTTTCAGCTGTGTTTAATTGAGAAAACATTCGTATGCAGGATACGAGAATGGACGGCAACTGATCTTGGCTAATACAGAGGTAATGATGAAATTATAGGAACACTTTGTGAGATGTCTGGTTTTGACAGTTTTGGAGACTTCGGAGACAAAAAAAAAATTCCAAAAACTGATAGGCTCAGGGCAGATTGTCCCCAGCCTTAGGGATTTTATGAAAGACTTCAAGAATTTTTTGGCAGGGTTAGTAGCGATTCTTCAGAATTGCAGCCACAGGGAAGATTGTGCTGAGAATTAGGCTCAGGATATCACTGAAAAGAGTGGAAAAGCCGCCAAGAGAACTAAATATGGCATTTTGTAGGTCTTGAATCTTATTCAAAGTGGGACCTGGAGACTTGAAAAAGGCATATTTGAGTGACTAGATTTGAGACTATTGAACACTCAAATTTCTTTTTCTTGGAAAAATAGGAACAAACTGGTTAGGAGAAACCACTCTTTCTTGTTTTATTTAGAATGTCTTTTATTATTTGAAAAATCAAGGCTTCAATCTACTGTTCAAATACTATGGATTTGTGTTTTACCTTTGATATACTGAATCAGTATACTTATATTTTAAAAATATTCCCAAGTTATTTATGATGATATTGTTGATTGCCTTCAAGTCTAGCACAACTCATAGTGACCCTATGAACAAAAAAGACCTGAAGCTTCTCTACAACTACCAACATTTACCGAAGTTCATAGAATTTCCGGAGCATGTGGCATGTTGTTTAGGAAGTGGAGGTCACTCGTGCTTCCAAATGTTATGTATTTCCTAGGTGAAAATTACGTATATATAAAGGAAATTGTTTAAATGTACATTCTGATTCAATGAATCTAGTTGTTCTTATGTTGTGCAATCCAGTTGGGGCCAACTCATAGATGACACTCCAGTAGGTTTTAAGAAGCTGTAAGGGAGGAGATGGTCTATCCTTTGCCCACAGAACAGCCAGTGGATTTGAACTGCATGGTTTGAGTTTACGGAATAACCCCTTACCACGAAGACACTACTAATTATTCTCTAAGAACAGAATTACTTCACTCCTTTTCATAGAGTCAAACTTCACAACTTATTTGCTCAGCATATAGATTAAACTTCTATTGAGAAAGTATCTAACTCTGCGTACACCCTTGCTGATTTTAAACTATGTCTCCCGCCCTCCCTGCCCCTTGCTTCTTTGGGGCAGCAGTTTCTTGATCCAGATGTAGATTTCTCATACCACAGTTAAGTGTTCCTGTACTCCCATTCTTCTCAATGGGATCCATAATGTGCTATGATTCACACAGTCACGTGCTTTTGCATAGTCACTAAAACACAAGTAGTCATTCTTCTGGTAGTTTCTACTTTCAGTCAGGATCAATCTGACATCCACAGTTATATCTCTGAATTGATGGGATACCAACTGATATGTTTCAGTTAACAGATCTAGCCTTGGATGTGCTCACCAGTCTATGTCAGGAAATTTGGAGGGTAATTGGCCAACAGGCTGGAAGAGTTCCACATTTGTTCCCATTCCCAACTAAAATGACCCAACTGAAAGTGGAAATTATACAATACTAGATGGATCTTAGTAAAAAGCAAAGAATATCAGAAGAATGTCTATCAGTGCTTCATTGACTATGCAAAGGCTTTTGACTGTGTGGATCACAATAAGCTGTGGCTGACTCTGAGAAGAATGGGATTCCCAGAACATTTGATTGTGCTAATGTGAAACTTATA